TCCAGAAAAAGTTCTTTAATTGCAGGCTTTGGGGCACAAACACCCTTCTTCAGGTATAGGAGAAAAAGATTGTAAAAGTTCTCCTGGGTAGCAGTGAAAGTTCATATTTCATAGGAGAGTTGAAGGTGTGTTCACACATGTACATTTTTCATAATAGACCTTTATTCACTGTTAACTATATTTTACTTTTCCTTATCACTCTTAAATCCTTCCTTTCTTATCTGTTTTGCTGATAGGGTAAGCAGGGGTGGGCAAGCAGGGCAGCAGCCCCTGGTACCAACTTAGAGGGGGTGTCAAAGTGGAGGCTCCCTGGGCAATCTGTGCTATTGCTGCAGCAACAGCAGCAGTGAGGTGTAGGGACCTTCCTGTGCCTCTCTAATGCAGCTGCTGTTACTCTTACCACCAAATTCCCTCCTGCCTGTTGCTAGCAGTGGGGGTAAGGAGTGACTGAGCAGCAAGGGAAGTGGCATTAGTAGGCACAATAGAGAGGCATGAGAGTGCCCTACCAGGTTTGGGTAATGCCCGTCTAATTTAGTTACATCTTCATATAGATAATAAGTGGAATATTACCTTAGACAACAGTTTTTTGTACTGAGGTTTTCTTAATAATAGACAGGTTTCCTTGTAGATAATTTCTTTTTCAGGCCCAATTTCATTCTTTTTGCCATTACCTCCTTCGGTCTTTTTGCCATTACCTCCTTCGTCCTTTTATCCTTCAAGCACTTGTAACATGGTAAATGCTGCAAGCTCTACCAGCAGTTGAGGTGGAGGATTTTTTCTCATGTTGAAAGTTTTGGCCTTGTAGTCCTACAGTCTTCATATTTTGTAATGTTTTAATAGGATTGTTAAAGGTTATTTACATTGTCATACATGTAATTTTTATATATTGTACAGAAGAATTGGGAAATGACCTAATTGTAAATTTTACATTGAAAGTTGCATTAGTTTCTTAATATTGCATCTTTAACAAAGATTCCTCTCCATTCTCCTTCTGTCATAAAGAAAAGGTTATCTGTCATTTTTAAGAGAAAGATTGAACTTTATAACTACAATCTCCTGTTATATAAACATTTTTTAAAATACCCCATAATTAGACGATGCCTGTTTCTTTTAAAGAAAACCTAACATCTAGCATTTTAGAACCAGAGGTCAGTGACCTGTGGTGTACGGAGTCATTGGATTGGCCCAGATCTGGTGGTGAGGAGCCTCACCTGTACCATAGGATGGCCATTAGCTTTGCCCATGCTGCAGCCCAGTGGCTGGGAGAAGCAGCAATGGCAGCCAGGTCCTAGTGCTGGCCCAAGCTGGGTCATCTGGTATGCCACTGAAAAAATGTTGCTGACCCCTACTCTAAGCGTTAGAACTTCAGGGTTATTTTTTTGGCTCTTGATTTCAATGGTTACAGACTGCCTGTATGTGGACAGCAAGCCAGTAGATGGAAAGGAACTCTTACATCTCGCACCAGGAACAACATAGCATATGAGAAGCAAAAGCGAGATTTTCTTTTTGTGTCAGTTTTTGAGTAATATTTAGTGCCTCGTGAATGTCTGAAGGAATTTTTAAGAGTGTATCCAAATAATGGAAAACGCTTACCATAAGGCTATGTAATGCGATTGGAAGTAACGCATCATTGTAAGGTCCTGCCTTTTTTATCCAGTTTAAAGGGTTTTGAGTTTCAAGTACAGCAGTTTCACTTAGGACATTATCTCTCATTCTAGGGTTTTGTTTCTAAAGGTACATCAAGTAGTACTATAGGGCTCCACAGGACTTGTGAAACACTATTATTATTCAATCCTGCTGTCATCTTTAATTTTGGGAATAGTAGACTGAAGACCATTTTTTTAAATGTCCTAAAAAGTTGTATAACATTATTAACTTACAGTGAAGCCTATCAGCTTACTTATATTCCTGCTTGATAAATTATATGCATTTGAAAATATGTACAAGTATATGGATTATTGGAGAGAGAGAACACATGATAGTGTGTGGTATGAAGGTTTTGTATTTATGGGAATGCAGGATAGTAGTAAATATCTAGCGCTTATGCATTATTTTCAGTAGTAGGCCTCAGTGCTTTACAAACGAGGTAAGTAACATGTTCAGAATGGCTGTATTATGTGTTAGCAGTAAAGCTGTTCTACATCTTTCACTGTGAACGTTGAGAGAACCTTCATACTACGTTATCAAATACCTTATGTATACCACACATCTTACAGAAAGGTAGTAGAAAACTTTTAGACTTTTAAAAAGTTTTATTGGGATTATATCTTTACAGTATTTATTTCTTTAAAACTGGTATTCTTTGTTACCATTAGTCCTAACTGTGTGGCTTAGAGGGAGTTGTGTAATTTGACGTCAATTTACTATTTATAATGTTTCAGGTTTTAAGTCCAGTAGTTTAAGTGCTAGAAACGTATTCTGGGTTATGTTGGAAAAGAGTGGGGGTGCTTCTAAAGTTATGAAATACTAAGCTTTAATGGCTTCATTTTCATTCTGTTGCTGCTTGGAGGAGGTCTTTGGGGAGCAGCAGAGAAGCAGGTTCAATCTTACTTCAGAGGATTGTCCCAGAATGCAATTAAAAATAATACGGAATTGTTATACTACACCCAGTTTAGATCCCATTCTAATGGGGGTGGAAATTATTGACAAGGAAGGAATTTACTGTGTTGTAATATATCAGTTTGAAACTGGGCTTGGTCCCTTCCTTTATGAGAAGACAAAAGTTTGGGGTTGCTTAATATATAGGTCAGTCAACTTCTGCATAAGTAGAGAAAAAGGCAGAACTTTTTGTATTCTTATAGTTAATCCCCTTCCTAGCCAACTGGAGAAACAGTATGGAGAAGCTCAATGGCAACCAGATCCAGTTCTGCACAGAAGGGGTAACTCCTTCAATATACGGTCCTGTGGAACTGGTAAGAGGAGTAAAGGGGACTTCTGGGGAAGATAGTTATGGGTTGTTGGGTGTGAAGGGAAAGCACTTAAAATAAGGAACATACTATTTTTGTACTATGTAGATTATTGTGCTACCCTTCCCCTCCCCTACCCTTCCCCAGGCCTTCCCCCGCCCCCAACTCCTTGCTGCTGTTTGCTGTTTCCTGATAATGTGTTTATCTTCCCCTCTGTATGCTAGTTCCATATACAAGTATTAAGAAAAAAAGGCCAGTTAGAGTATGTCTATGGTGCAGTTGTAGACATGACTGTAAGGTAATGTAAAGGTACCCAATGTAACTTTAAACTAGTTAGCTCATATAGCAATAACAGTCTACATGTAAGAACATGGAACTCAGGGTGGGCTTGCTTATACTCACTTTGTTTCAGTGAGTAATCCAAGAATGCTTCTGTTCATTAATTAAACAATGCACGAATACTTGGCCTTTTAAAATAGGATTATACTTTTCTGCTTTTATCATTGCTATGAGATTAAATGTCTTGAATTTTATTTATCCCATGTCTATTATTTTTCTAAGAGTTAAACAGTTTTACCTATGGGCATTTCCTTTTATTACAATGGCAAACCAGTTAACTTTTGATTTTTAAGCATATTCCCATTCAAGTAATGACATCGATCCATTCTCATTTCCAGCTATTTCTGTATGATTGTGTTATCGTATCATAACTTGTCTTTCCAGTGGACGATGCTGGTAAAATAGAACATGAAGGTTCTGCTGAAATTACCATGGAGGCAGAGTCAGAAAGTGATCCTTGTAAAGTGGATGGCATTTGTCCAGAAGTCATCAAAGTCTATATATTCAAAGCTGATCCTGGAGAAGATGATATAGGTAAAGCAATATGTTCACTTTAGAATATCCTAACATGATTTATTTAATCCTGTGTAGTAAGGTTGCTGAGAGATGTTAATTTAAAGGTGCAGCGGGGTCTATCCCCAATCCCCAAAATCATGCCTCCTGCCATGCCTCATGTGCATAGCCGAACACACTGTTTTGGGATTAGGAATCAGATCCCAATCATACCCTACTTGCCAGTACAGAGGGAGCCTGGGATCAGGATTCTGGGCTCCCCTGCACAGCAATTTGAAATCTGGGTACCTGAAAATCAGGTGATTGTCAACTGGCTCTAGGGCTTGAACTGGCCCTTACATGGTCCCTAGAGTTGGCTGACAGTCAGTTGATTGTCACGCACCCAGCTGACTGGAACTCTGGCACGAACCTTGCCAGCTCTGAC